GATAGCTTCCGGTCGAACTTTCATTGGTAAAGATTCACACGAGATTGCACAACAGGTCGTCAAATAACTACCTGGTCTGGTTTGGAAACGTCGCTACTGGTGTGGCAAAGACTGCCGGGTGTATTGCTGGCCAATCGTTTGAAAGACATCCCAATAGGTTGGTAGTGAGTCCAACTGAATCGCAGACGTTGTCTTGGGAGCAACACTATTCAATAAATTAACATAACAAAACACCACCTACACTTGCGTGTTGAATGCTCATCTGGCCACGCCACGACAGAACTGGACAAGGTTCCCTATCCCTGGCCCGGACCGCGAGCCGGGTCCCGGATCGCGTGGCTAGAGGCTTCGTTTACCCGACCGTGGATCTTCATCACCAGCAACACGAAGAACCCCCGAGCCCCTTCATGGGGCCCCCGTTACATCGGCCTGGGGCTGGGCCTGTCTCCGCCCCTCGCCCCAGCCACCTTCTAGATCTCTCCGGCTCTTTCCCAAAGGCTCCCCGTGAGCTCCTTTAGACCACGTGACCGCCCAGCGGCCCCCAGTCCACCAGTGGCCACCCACCAATATAATCCGGTCACGTGTCGGCAGGTCAACTGGCGTATCGTGCCCCAACGTAACCCTGGCTGGCCGACGCTCGCTCTGGCTCCCTCACCGGGAGCCCGCAGCGCACGCCGCTCGCGGTGCCCCCGCTGCTGACCGGCGCTCAACCCAGGCCCCGCTAGGGCCGGTGGTACTACGATCAGTAAGCGGGCTGCACATGATGCCAACACGTTATCCGCCGTGGCTTCGTAAGCCTGCAACCACGCAGTGACAATCACAGTCACCGCAGATTCGCAGATAGTTTCACAGATGTCCAGGTAGTTTCACAGATTTAACACGTAGGCTTTCGTGACCAACATCGTCCACAATATAGCTTTTTTTTTTATGCGCACGCTGTGCCAGCCTTCATGGATGCTGCTACTCACCAACAGTGCAAGCACCGGCAGCCATGCTAACTCTATACGGGGGGGGGGGGATATTTGTCTTTATCCACAGACGCCAAAGCCTCCTGCTGTCAGCAAGAGCATCTCGGATGTCAGGAGCAGGATGAGGGAGCCAGTTGAAAGGGTAAAACCTATTCCTATATCTTGTTACTGGCAAAGGAGGTCTCATAATGTAAATGCTCACCCCGAGCCCTCAATACTCTGATAGTGCGCTGTTTTTGAGTTGTACGCCTTTTGGCGTCTTCTGGTCCAACACCAATGGAGACTAGGCTCTAAGAAAAGCCGTCTCGGGTGTGGACCAATCAAATAAAAGAACAGTGCATATTATTATCAGAGTTGTCTTTTTTTGTTTGCATTTTGACTGCTTGTGTTGTGGTTATTACAAACATGATGCCTTGAATAAAGGTGTCAGTTTTTGTGTCAGTTAAAAGGGTAAAACCTATTCCTATATCTTGTTACTGGCAAAGGAGGTCTCATAATGTAAATGCTCACCCCGAGGCCTCAATACTCTGATAGTGTGCTGCTTTTGAGTTGTACGCCTTTTGGCGTCTTCTGGTCCAACACCAGTGGAGACTGGGCTCTAAGAAAAGCCATCTCGGGTGTGGACCAATCAAATTCTAGGACAGTGCATATTATTATTATTATCATAGTTGACTTTTTTTCGTTTGCATTTTTACTGCTTGTGTTGTGGTTATTGCAAAAATGATTCCTTGAATAAAGGTGTCAGTTTATGTGCCAGTCAAAAGGGTAAAACCTATTCCTATACTGAGACATCTGTGAAACTACTGTGACATCTGTGAAACTACTGGGACATCTGTGAAACTACTGTGACATCTGTGAAACTACTGGGACATCCGTGAAACTACTGGGACATCTGTGAAACTACTGGGCCATCTCTAAAACTAGTGGGACATCTGTGAAACTATTGGGACATCTGTGAAACTATTGGGACATCTGTAAAACTACTGGGACATCTGTAAAACTACTGGGACATCTGTGAAACTATTGGGACATCTGTGAAACTAATGGGACATCTGTGAAACTACTGGGACATCTGTGAAACTATTGGGACGTCTGTGAAACGATTGTGACTTCTGTGAAACTAGTGGGACATCTGTAAAACTACTGGGACATCTGTGAAACTACTGGGACATCTGTGAAACTACTGGAACATCTGTGAAACGATTGTGACGTCTGTGAAACTACTGAGACATCTGTGAAACTAGTGGGACGTCTGTGAAACTACTGGGGCGTCTGTGAAAATTACTGGACCCCTGTGCCGGCCTTCACGGGTGCTCTTACTCGCGAACTGCGCTCGCACCCACGGCCATGTTAACGCTAAACGTGAGGGGGGCGGGGTGATCGTCGTCTTCGTTCACAGACGCGGAGGCCTCCCGGCAGGCGCAAGAGCGTCGCGAACGTCCGGAGCCGGAACAGGGAGCGAGCGGCGACAACGACGGCCACCGGCGTCGGCGGCGTCGGCACCGCCGGGGCCACGGCGCGCTCACCGCCACGGGGCCACCGGCGGTGGGCCGCGATCCGCCGGTGGCCGAAGGTGCGCGGGCCCAGGGAGGCTGCGGGGCCGGAGGAGCCTTCCACCGGCACGGCGGACGCCGCCGTCCGCGTGCTGCGCTCCATCGGGGCGACGCGCCGCGAGGTGGCGGAGGGGGAGGAGCCTCCCATGGGCCTGACGGACGCCGTCGTCCGCGTGCTGCGCTCCATCGTGGCGAAGCGGCGCGCTGGGAGGGGCCTTCAGTTTCACCGCCTGGGAACGGGCGGCGCCTCCACCGCCTCCGCCGCCTCCGCTGCCACCGGACTGAATGCTGAGGCTCTCGGACGACGCCGCCGCTCGTGACGGTGTCGCTCGGACAGCGTGGAGGGGGGGGAGTGGGAGGGGGCGTTGCTCGAACCGGTCATCGGCACGATGAACGTGGCCGGTGTACGTTTGGGGCGACGCGTGTCGCCGTCGTCGCCGCTGCTGTGAGCGGCGTGTTGTAAATAATAAAGTGTCAAATATATTTAATCTTCGGTTCTTTCGGCGGTAAAGCCGCGTCAAAAGAAAGCAAATGAAGTGATAGAAGCCGACGTTTCGATTGCACCACAAGCAGTCGTCATCAGGTCGAGCTAAATTTGAGAGACAAAATACAGACACGGCGACACAGACACGTGTCTATGTTGTGTGTCTCTGTCTGTGTCTCTGTGTTGTCTCTCTCTGCTCGTGTGTCTGTGTGTCTATGTTGTGTGTCTGTGTTGTCTGTGTGTCTATGTTGTGTGTCTCTGTGTCTCTGTGTTGTCTCTCTCTGCTTGTGTGTATGTGTGTCTATGTTGTGTGTCTGTGTTGTCTCTGTGTGTCTATGTTGTGTGTCTCTCTCTGTGTGTCTCTGTGTTGTCTCTCTGCTTATGTGTCTCTCTGTCTCTGTGTTGTCTCTGTGTGGCTATGTTGTGTGTCCGTCTGTGTGTCTTTGTGTTGTCTCTCTGCTTGTGTCTCTCTGTATGTCTCTGTGTTGTCTGTGTGTCTGTTGTCTCTCTCTCTGCTTGTGTGTCTCTCTGTGTCTCCGTGTTGTCTCTGTGTGTCTATGTTGTCTCTCTCTCTGCTTGTGTCTCTCTGTATGTCTCTGTGTTGTCTCTGTGTGTCTGTTGTCTCTCTCTCTGCTTGTGTGTCTCTCTGTGTCTCCGTGTATGTTTTTTGTCTCTCTCTCAAATTTAGTCCTACCTGCTGACGATTGCTTGTGTTGCAATCGAAACGTCGTTTTCTATTCTTTACTTTACTTTCTTTTTACGTTACTTTACCGAAAGAACAAAAGAGTATGTACATAAAGTGTTAAATAAATTTACGTGAAACTTTCAAAAAACAACAAAAATTATCCGCGCGGTTTTCTTGTTATTTAAATCTTCGCTTACCTTGACGCCTGCTACGAATTGCTTGCTTGTTGGGTGGGGGCGTAATGAGTCCCCACTCTTGCAACACAACAACAACAACACAACAACAACAAAACAACAATACAACAACAACACAACAACAACAACACAACAACAACAACAAAACAACAACACAACAACAACAACACAACAACAACACAACAACAACACAACAACAACACAACAACAACAACACAACAACACAACAACAACAAAACAACAACAAAGATCCCCTTTGTAGCCTTGAAACAAACTGTTTGGGGGCAAGCGCTGTTAGCGGCCACCCTGGCACACGAGGGGGTGGGTGGCCAGCAACCACGCCTGGCACAGATGTCCCATTAGCATGCCTGTCAAACCCGCACGCTTTACCCGTGTAATGCGTTCTGGAGACACTTGTAGAGGCGACTCTTTATTAGAACGCACCACGTCAACACCCCGTACACAGCCTAGGCCAGACGTGGGCAAAGTAGGGCCCCCCGGGGCCAGATACGGCCCGTTGGGCTTTTTAATCTGGCCTGCCGAACTTGTCAAAATATTAAATTCTTGGTTCTTTCGGTAAAGTCACCACGTAGAAGGGAAACAATAAAATAATGAAAATATTAAACGATAAAATTCTCACGACGTTTCGACTGCAACGCAAGAAGCAATCCTCATCAGGTGTGAAAACCACAACAAAATTTGTCCAAATATTATAACATAACATTTTACCTTTCTCCTGTAATGCCCCCATCTCCCCATTAGACGGCGCACTTTGACCGGGAGTTACGACATGTTTTTGTATTCATGTTCGTGCAATTTGTTAAATTACCTTGCAAATAAATGCTTTGCTACTTGTTGAAGGCCAAATCCTTTCATGTAATGATTTTTACGCGTCATTTATGTTAGTTCACACACTCAATCCATTTGTTCCTGGCCCGGCCCCTCTGTCAAATTTTAGGACCCATTGTGGCCCGCGAGTCAAAACAATTTGCCCGCCCCTGGCCCGGGCACACAGCCTACCCCTGGCGGGCCGTGACACTGGCTACGCTGTCGGTGCCTCCGGCTATAACAACCCTAGGGGAGGCTGCCCTGACAAGACCCAGCCAAGGTGCGGGTCTAGACCTCTGGCTTCCTCGGCCCCGCCGCCCTTACAAGGGCAGCGGGGCCGGGAGTCCCAGAGTCCCACTACCGGCCCGCACAGCGCTCACGCCCTTATAAGGGCAGTGGGGCGAGGCGGTCCCAGAGTCCCACCACCGGCCCGCACAGCATCCACGCCCTTACAAGGGCGCGGGGCCGGGAGTCCCAGAGTCCCACCCCCGGCCCGCACAGCGCTCACGCCCTTATAAGGGCAGCGGGGCGAGGGGGTCCAGGGTCGTAAGCTGGCTGGGTCCTCGTTTTTCGGCTGCGACTGGCCCAGATCGGCTGGGGAGGTCCCCTTTTATACCCCTCGCCCCTTCGAGGGGTGGGGCTGCGGGGGATCCTGAGTCCCCAGCAGCCCCTCCCCTCTTGGGCTGGCACTGCAGCCCCTCCCCTGGCGGCACGAGGCACCCCTACAGGTGGGCCCTGTCTGCCACTGCCGGTAAGTGTGGCCCATCTACAGCACTACACGCGAATGTTCTCGCGCAGGGTCATTGAGTAAACAAAATCCTCTTTTCGTCCATTTGTGTTTCTCCCCACGTGATGGTACTTTTGTAGGATGAACGTTGATATTTATAAGGGGTGCACGGGGTGACCGATACGGTCTGAATTGGTCTGTGATAAGGTGGGCCACTGACAAGGGATTGGCATGTATCTGGTGGTGTGGTGTTGAGTATAGCGGCGTGTATAGTGGAGTGTTTAGTGTAGTTTAGACTTAAAACTTTCGTGACTGCAGGAATTCAAAGTATTGGTCCTTTCGGTAATGTCACGTAAATAGAAAACGAAAAGAAAATCAAAAGATGAAAGTTAAATATAAAAAAACAATAAGATAATAAAATTAATAAAATAAAAATAACAAATTGAAAATCGCAACACAAGCGGTCTTCATCAAGTGGAGAAAAAGTAATTTTTTTGTATTTCTCTGTAAATTTAATTTAATTTTTTATTTTCTATCTACGTGACTTTGCCGAAAGAAACAAGATGATGTGAATTCCGGCAGTCACGAAGGTTTGAAGTCGAAATGTTTTACGTAGCTACTTTTGCTACTTAGGATAATGTAATCCCGTTCTTTCGGTAAAGTCAAAAGTCTGCCCGGTGCCTTTCCTGGTCTCAGACTTTGGATCGCCTTCAGTACTTCTTCAACGGATGGCGCCTCAGCCAGCCACTCACAGGGGGTGACTTCCTCCTCCAATATCTGAGGCACCGCAGCCTCAGTAGGGTCATCCCCACTTTGTCCCATGATGTTTTCCAGGCTGAGGGATTCCCCTTTCCCCAGGACCTCACAGAAATCTGCAAACCTGTTCCTGGGGGTCGGAGATTGGATCACCGTTCTTTCCATTAATGATGGTAATAGGTGTGGCGCTGCAGGTTATTTTTTTGATGGAGTTAAATAGGGATTTGTGATTGCGGGCCATTGATGCAGACTCCATCTCCTCAGCAACCAGCGACCACCACCCATCCTTGCAGCGCCTCACGGCTCTCCGAACCTCCGAGCGAAGGCTGCGGTAAGCCTCCTCATTCTCTGACGTGGGATGCTGTAGCCGATGAGAGTGGGCCTGTCGCTTTTTCTCAACCATCCTGAACACCTCCTCTGTGAGCCAGGGTCTCTGCGGAGGTCTGGACCGCGTACCCAAAGCAGTCATTGCAGCTGCATGAGTCATAGTCCTAAACGTCGCTCATTTCCCCTCGACATCAGGAGGAGTGGGCGACGATGCCAACCCCAGCTGCAAGCGATTATGAAATTATCGCTTGCAACTTCCATCAGCTAGCTGAGACCAGGCCACCTTAGGTTAGAATGGGGTCCTGGGTGTACACCCACCACCGGAGTGGAAGAATGGCAGGCGCATCTTACAGATGACTAGTCGATGGTCAGAGGGCAGATCAGCTCCACGGTAGGTCCTGGTGTCAAGGACATGGGCGCGCATCCGCTGTTCCGTCACTATGCAGTCCAGAAGATGTTCTTGCTTGGACCTGGCATGCATCCATGATGTGTGGATGCGCTGATGCCGGAACAACGTGTTGGTAATTACGAGCCCATGGGCTGCACAAAAATCTAGCAGTCTCCTGCCGTTGTTATTGAGCTGATCTGGCCCATGTCTTCCAATTACTCCAGACCAGGTGCCAGCATCGTGACCAACACAGGCATCGAAGTCACCCAACAGGATGACTCTATCCCGAGGGGCCACTTTAGCCAGAACCTGTGACAGGTCATAGAAGGCAGCTGACTCAACGGCATTGCCTGCACCCATCCACGGATGTTCGTCTTCAGTGGGGGCATAAACAACCACGACCACCACTCCTCGCCTCTGGTTGATGGTAAGGCGATCCCAAAGTAGCCTGGGACTTATAGCTTCCCACACCTCCTTGCATTAGAAAATATAGAGCAGTTCATATTTTGATGGTATAATGTGGTGATGCTCCATCACGTGTTTCAAATATATTACACAATGAATATTGAACTGAAGCTTGACTTTGAACATTTTAGTCGCAATGTCTGTCAGGAAAATCGCAATGAGATATTTTCCCCAAATTGTTCAGCCCTAGTCGACATCAGCAGCCGTACGGAGGAGGAAGAAGGAGAGAATCATAGATACACCCATTGAGATACACAGAGACCCATAGCGATCCTTAACCACAGAGACTAACAGAGACTCATAGATACACCCATTGACATCCAGACCCAGAGATACGCGCAGAAGCTCATAGATACCCATTGAGATACACAGAGACCCATGGAGATGCATACCCACAGAGACTAACAGAGACTCATAGAGAATCGGCAGACGCATGGAGATCCAGTGAGTCAGAGAGATGCACAGAGACTCATAGAGACTCACAGAGACCCACAGAGACCCATCGACTCATTGAGGCATCACAGCGATCGCTGTCGCTCTGCATCGACATCAGCAGCCGTGCAGAATGGAAGAGGCTAACGCACGAGCGTTTGTGCACGTGGCAGCAGGATTGAGCAAGCGCTCGAAGTAAAAGTAGCAATGCGTGTGTAGTGACGGTGTGAGTGGACCAGTGGCCACGGGAGGTAATGACAGGGGAGTCAGCCTGCAGTGTGAGTGGACTAGTGGCTATGGGAGGTAATGACAGCGGAGTCAGCATGCAGTGTGAGTGGACTAGTGGCCACGGGAGGTAATGACAGGGGAGTCAGCCTGCAGTGTGAGTGGACTGGTGGCCACGGGGGGTGATGACAGGGGAGTCAGCCTGCAGTGTGAGTGGACTAATGGCCACAGGAGGTAATGACAGGGGAGTCAGCCTGCAGTGTGAATGAACTAGTGGCCACGGGGGTAATGAGAGGGGAGTCAGCCTGCTGTATGAGTGGACTAGTGGCCGCGGGAGGTAATGACAGGGGAGTCAGCCTGCAGTGTGAGTGGACTAGTGGCCACGGGAGGTAATGACAGGGGAGTCAGCCTGCAGTGTGAGTGGACTAGTGGCCACGGGGGTGATGACAGGGGAGTCAGCCTGCAGTGTGAGTGGACTAGTGGCCACGGGGGTAATAACAGGGGAGTCAGCCGGCAGTGTGAGTGGACTAGTGGCTATGGGTGTTATTGACAGGGGAGTCAGCCTGCAGTGTGAATGGACTAGTGGCCATGGGAGGTAATGAGAGGGGAGTCAGCCTGCAGTGTGAGTGGACTAGTGGCCACCGGAGGTAATGACTGGGAAGTCAGCCTGCAGTACGAATGCACGATTGTCCACGGGGGTAATGACAGGGGAGTCAGCCTGCAGTGTGAGTGGACTCGTGGCCACAGGAGGTAATGACAGGAGAGTCTGCCTGCAGTGTGAGTGGACTAGTGGCCACAGGAGGTGATGACAAGGGAGTCAGCCTGCAGTGCGAATGGACTAATGGCCACGGGAGGTCATGACAGGGTTATGAGTTGTGACTGCAAAGGGACTGGTGGCTACGGGAATGTTCGAGCAGGGAGCGTGGTCAGGAGACGGAAGAGGACGGTGGAGTCTGCCGGTAGAGCGAGCGTCCAGAGTCAGTGAGAATGATCGAGAAAGGGGGCGCCACTTCGTGTTGATATATAAGGGGGAGATGCACAGGGAGACTCTGGGTTGTTGCGGTGGGATCTCCGCCTGATGTCAAGTGAACGTCTCTTCAATAAAGTGCCATCTCAAGAGAAGTGTGTCAAGTCGTCGTTACACTAAACTACTATACACTACACTACTATACACTACACTATACACTACACTACTATACACTACACTGTACACTACACTACTATACACTACACTACTATACACTACACTACTATACACTACACTACTATACACTACACTACTATACACTACACTACTATACACTACACTGTACACTACACTACTATACACTACACTACTATACACTACACTACCATACACTATACACTACTAAACACTACACTATACTATACACTACACTACTATACACTACACTACTCAACACTACACTATACACTACACTACTATACACTACACTACTATATACTACACTACTATACACTACACTGCGATACACCACACTGCTATACACTACACTACTATACACTACACTACTATACACTACACTACTATACACTACACTACTATTCACTACTATACACTACACTACTATACACTACACTATACACTACACTACTATACAGTGGAACCTCGGTATACGACCGCTTTGGTATACGTCGTGTTTTGACGAGAAAAAAATGTCTTGGGATACGTCTTGCTTGGGATACGATGCACTTGCTAGAACTTGTTTGGGTCGGGATGAGTCTCCACGTCCCCGCGTTTACTCCGTTCACGACTGAAACAAAGCGCCGTTCCTCAGTCTGCCTGTAGATCTCGTTCAGTGCACAACCCTTGATATATTTTTTATGTCAATTTATTTAATTAATTTATGAATTGTAATGTATGTATGCATTTTAGTACTAAGTAGTGTCTACATTATGTTATACAACCCCATTAATGTATATGCCATATAAAATATAATTTCTTATACTCTGGAACGGATTATTTCCTGTCCTTTTATTTCTTATGGGAAAAATTCGTTTGGTGTTCGTCATTTT